TATTAAGAAAGACTTTTAATGTTATTTTGGAAGACTTATGATGTGTGCATACAAACAAATAGCAAATAATGATGAATCATTCACAAATAAATTCCTTTTAAGGAGAAAATCTAAAATGAAAAGTGTACGTACAGAACATTTATAAGTGACCATTTAATGCTTAAGAGTGAAAGTAGTTCTATTGATTTGTCATTTCTCAAGGTATTTAATATCAACTGCATTATGTATTATGTCTGCTTTAATCATTTAAAAACAACAAAGGATTATATAGACTATGATTGAGGTTCCTTGCTGTGTATGAGGATGAGAGGGGATTTGATAGTCTCATAAAAGCTAATTTGGCTTAAAGTTTTATGAATCTGTAACTAGAATTTAATTTCACCCCAATAATGTTCTATATAACCTTTGCCAAAGAGCAACCAATAAATTAAACCTCTTCTCTTTGTGTGCGTGTATGTGTGTGTGTGCACGTGTATTTTAACTGGTATTGGTCTGAGAGCAGAGATTCACTTGTCATGGGAAGGGAAGTAGAAAAGAGATAATTAGATCTCTTGTGATCTTAAAGGGAGTTTATTCCTTTCACCTAGACCTTTCAGATCTTTCTCGATTAGAGTAGGACACCTCAAGCTGTAGCATTTATAGGCAAAGGGAAGCTGGTTGACAACTGAAAGTAGCAGCTTTTATTTCCAGAGCATAGATAGAAATAAGAGCTAGAGAGGATTATGCTGAAGTCCTTCAGATGGCAGAATGGTTGTCACACCGAAATGATAATGGCTTTATTTTGGGCGTTCTGGGAGAAAAAGAAAGATTTGGGGCTCAGTAGGAGGAAGAGCTNACACCTCAAGCTGTAGCATTTATAGGCAAAGGGAAGCTGGTTGACAACTGAAAGTAGCAGCCTTTTTTTCCAGAGCATAGCTAGAAATAAGAGCTAGAGAGGATTATGCTGAAGTCCTTCAGATGGCAGAATGGTTGTCACACCGAAATGATAATAGCTTTATTTTGGGCGTTCTGGGAGAAAAAGAAAGATTTGGGGCTCAGTAGGAGGAAGAGCTTTCTAATGATGAGACTGAGTCAGCAACACTACGAGTTGCCCTTGAGACGGTAACCTTCTCTTCTTGGAAATATTAAAACATTGGGTAGATATCATTTGATAGGGATGTGAGGTAAAGTAAGTTATTGCTCTTGATATACAATTGAACTAGTGGTTTTCTGAGGTGCCTTTCCACCCAGATATATGATACAAGATTTCTACTAGGATTTGGTGCTCTGACATAATTAAAATCCCAGCAACTATGTATGGAGCGCTTATGCCAGAGGCTATGCTAAGGATTTTATTTGATTTTTT